AAAACGCTCGCAGAAAGCAGTGCATCACCCGGTGTTAGAGGTCACTTCCCAAAGCGTCGTATTCGATTTCAACCGAGGAATCGGTAACGATGCATCGATTCATCCGTTGTAATCAATTTTTAAGTCTCACGCTGCGTGCGTCAAATCACGCGCGTGACGAGCGAACGGCGACGCTTTGACTCGTCTGCTCCTCCAGGGTGCACGTGAACTGCAGCCGCGAGAGGCCGCTGCATTCGCCACATTGTTTAAAAAAAATAAACGATCGATGCAATATTTGAGTTGGGACTTGCGACTCTGCGGACGCAATCGTTGCGTGCTGAATCTCCTGGGTTTTAGATGCCTTGGGATGCTTTCCGAACGCGGAGACCATCTGTGGAGAGTCGGAGCAACGCGCGGTGTCCGATTTGACGCGCGGCCGTGTTATCCTGCGTCCGGTTGGGGATCTCCGAGGCCGACTCAGCATTAATTGAGTGAGAGTGCCCGTCGCGGTGTGTGAACATCAACACAGAAGATACAAAGGCGGTCTGGCGTGCTTCTAGGGCTCCACAACCCACCCCACCGTGACCGTACCAATCTTAAAGAGGCGCTTTCTTACAGCACTTGCGCCATCAGTCTGTTACGACTATAGCGGCGGGGGTGGGGGGGTGTATGCGTGTTTGTGTGAGTTCGCCTACTCCTACATGCTCAGAGCTGTGTAGCAGGTTTGGCTCATCACACACCCAACCAATGCGCTTCTCTGCCAAGTGCAACACAACCGCCACTCTGGTCGTACTAATTATAATGGTCGGATATGAAGTTGGGCAGAGTCCAGCTCTGCTGGATTTGGAGTGGGATGCACGTGGCCTTCTCGCGTGGGGTAATGGATATTCGGCATCACGGATGAAAAACAAATATCAAGGCAGCGTCTTGTTGATGATGGTTCAGACACACCCACAATTTTTTTTTTTAGATGTATAAAAACCTCACTCTCCACTTTCATAATCGGCTCTGGATTAATGTCAAAAGTTAGTGCACCGCGCTTGCGAAACCCGGACAACTGACTTCGATTCGCGACCACGGCTAACATCAGTGGCCAGTTCTATGCGAACCGGTCCTGCCTCCCCCATCCACCCCCAGCGGAGTGAAGTATGGTCAAACAACCCACGAACTGTTAATAGGGGATGGTGATCGGTAGTCAAGAATAATAACAGAGTGGCACCCAAGGAATTAAACGTGTCCTCCAGGAACTACTTTCAGAATATTCGGAAGAATATGTTTTATTTATACTGAAGAAATCTGTAACGAGCGCCACGGTGGCTAGATGTGAACTACCTCGCCTAGCGTACAGGAGGTTCGTGGGTTGGAACCCGACCCTGACGCCTGCTGCTGTATATTTGGAGTTTGCGTGTCTCTCTCTCTCTCTCATCATCATCACGGTGGCTAGGATATGTTAACTACCTCGCCTGGTGTACAGGAGGTTCGTGGGTTGGAACCCGACCCTAACGCCTGCTGCTGTATATTTGGAGTTTGCGTGTCTCTCTCTCTCTCATCATCACGTAAACTAGAATATGTCAACTACCTCGCCTCGTGTGCAGGAGGTCGTGGGTTCGAACCGGACCCTGACGCCTGCTGCTGTATATTTGGAGTTTGCGTGTCTCTCTCTCTCTCATCATCATCACGGTGGCTAGGATATGTTAACTACCTCGCCTGGTGTACAGGAGGTTCGTGGGTTGGAACCCGACCCTAACGCCTGCTGCTGTATATTTGGAGTTTGCGTGTCTCTCTCTCTCTCATCATCACGTAAACTAGAATATGTCAACTACCTCGCCTCGTGTGCAGGAGGTCGTGGGTTCGAACCGGACCCTGACGCCTGCTGCTGTATATTTGGAGTTTGCGTGTCTCTCTCTCTCTCATCATCACGTAAACTAGAATATGTCAACTACCTCGCCTCGTGTGCAGGAGGTCGTGGGTTCGAACCCGACCCTGACGCCTGCTGCTGTGTTTTTGGAGTTTGCGTGTCTCTCTCTCTCATCATCATCACGGTGGGTAGGAGATGTTAACTACCTCGCCTGGTGTACAGGAGGTTCGTGGGTTGGAACCCGACCCTGACGCCTGCTGCTGCTGTGTTTTTGGAGTTTGCGTGTCTCTCTCTCTCTCATCATCACGGTGGCTAGGAGATGTCAACTACCTCGCCTCGTGTGCAGGAGGTCGTGGGTTCGAACCCGACCCTGACGCCTGCTGCTGTGTTTTTGGAGTTTGCGTGTCTCTCTCTCATCATCACGTAAACCAGGATATGTCAAATACCTCGCCTCGTGTGCAGGAGGTCGTGGGTTCGAACCCGACCCTGACGCCTGCTGCTGTGTTTTTGGAGTTTACGTGTCTCTCTCTCTCATCATCACGGTGGCTAGGAGATGTTAACTACCTCGCCTCGTGTGCAGGAGGTCGTGGGTTGGAACCCGACCCTGACGCCTGCTGCTGTGTTTTTGGAGTTTGCGTCTCTCTCTCTCTCATCACGGTGGCTAGGAGATGTTAACTACCTCGCCTCGTGTGCAGGAGGTTCGTGGGTTGGAACCCGACCCTGACGCCTGCTGCTGTGTTTTTGGAGTTTGCGTGTCTCTCTCTCTCTCATCATCACGTAAACTAGAATATGTTAACTACCTCGCCTCGTGTGCAGGAGGTCGTGGGTTGGAACCCGACCCTGACGCCTGCTGCTTTGTTTTTGGTGTTTGCGTGTCTCTCTTCCCGTGGTCGCGTGGATTTTTTCTCCGTGTACATTGTTTTTTTTTCGTCCACATTCAGAATCAACGTCCTTTGAGAGTAATGGTTGCTCTAAATTTCCACGTGATGAGCCACTTCGTTGAGCTATAATTGTGGCCAGGTCGCTTCCGAAAAAAAGAGCTATATAGTTAAGTGGACCTTACCTGGTATAAAAATAAAATAAAGTTTCGTTTAGATGGAGCAATTGCATCAGAGTGCGTGCAGGTGGTAGCGGTTGGTTGGTTCACAGCAGAATTCGCGAGAGACGGTGGCGGCTTGTTGAGGCTTTCATCCAGCAGTGGATCGATAAAGGTTCCATATTACACATAGACCGGGAAACGTTTCGAGGTAAGTGATACTTCTTTTGCGCGGAGAGAAGGCTTGTGCGGAATGGAGGTCTCAATTTCAAGTGTGCGCTTTTTTGCGAAATGTCCAACATCTCAAATGAGTCACGTAGAATGAGAACAAAATAATAAATTGATAAAATAAAATAACACAATATTCTCACGACGTTTCGGCCAAAACACAAGCGGCCTTGCAGTCACTAAAGCTTTAAATCGAAATCTCAAATGAGTTGACACGAACCATTTTTCATGGGCGTATGAAGGGTTTTTTTTTTCCGTGTGACGTTTGAGTCACGGACACATTTAAACTGAGCGCACGGCATACACAAACGAGTTTACGTGTTTTAAATTATCAATTTGAGATTGCGGAATTGCATCATGGGAGGTAAACATCACAAACAAACATAGACTCTTAAGTAGCAGAGCAATGTCCATTTGCTCTCTATGCGTACAGCCTCTCCTGCATCACCTTTATTCATATTCTACCGTGATTACGAAACGAGTTAGAGGTTAGCCAAACATTCTCCTCTGAAAGAGGGCAATTGCCCGTAACGTTGGCCTGCTGTTTGGATGCATGTTTCCGCACCCACGATTAGCACGGTTGGCTAGGTAGGGTGGCGAAAGAATTTCAACATACATACAAAGTAGGAGTAATGATGGATATGCCGTGTTATTTTTCGTGCTTGATCACAAACGTGTAAGCGTAAATCGGAGACATCATGCACACAAGCACTGACTGTAAGTCCACGTGGGTAAGAGGACGCATTTCCAGAATGAATGATTGTGGATGGTCGAGGCTGCGTGTATGTATGTTGAACTTCTTTCGCACCGTACGTAGCCAATCGTGAGTTTTCAATCTAGCTTTAAAAGTGCATGGCTCCAGTGGCGTCCTAAATATCAGAAGGAAGAGCGCTCTAGACGGCCGCAGAAGCGCATTTTAAAGCGCGCGATGCAATGACCGTTTTTGTTCGATGTAGACACAAAAGCCGCCGTGATGATGATCGGAGTTCGCGCGATGATGGTTTATAATGCTTAACGATGTCAGCAGAGAAGGACGACCACTGGCGCAGAGGACGCGGTGAGTGAACGCCGCTTGATTTGGCATCGCAGGACCATAAGGGATGACCACTTCTAGAAGTAGATCAACAGTGACTGATGCTGCTCGTACTGGTTGTGGTGATAATGATGATGTACGGTAGTGTAGTGGTTAGCGCGCTGCGCTACGAACCCAGCGACCCGAGTTCGATTCCTCCTCACGAGCAACACCAGTGACGAATGTCCGAATGGGTTACGGGCCTCCACTAGGTTGACTCGGCCACAAATAAGTACCCAGTGCGATGTGTAAACATCGCCACTGACGAGAAAAAGTCTTTGTGTTAGTGTTTGCCGTGCAGGTAGTGATTGGCGCATTGCGCTATGAACTCGGCCATCAGAGTTCGATTGCGAGCTGCTCAGCTATTGCTGCTGCTGCTATTGACGATGTTTTCAGCTATTGATGCCGCTGATGTGAATGCAGCTGATGAGATTCTGATCTCAGCTATTGATTGCGATGCTGAGTGCATGCGTGGTGGTCCCGTGCGCACACGGTGCCTCGATAGAAGCCGCGGGCTGCCGCCGACGCCGCCGCCGCCGCCGCGCGTTTTGGCATTGGCGGGCATCATCCAGCTCATAAACGCCCGCACGCAAATTGAGGCGGCGCTGCCCGCCCATCCCATTGTGTTGCAACTCCAACACCCAGCCACCTAGTTCCTTTATAAGGGGGTGGGAGGAACGGGCCGGGGAGGGTGGCGGTGGGAGGTGATTGAGTGGGTTTGGGTCCGAGGTACTTTATAAACGTGCACAACTCAAACACAGATAGTCAAGCGCGGCGCAGTTCTTCCGCGGCGGGCGGGCGGTCGGGCGGGCGAGCGAGCAGGCGGGCGGGCGGGCGGGCGGGCGGGCGGGCAGGTGCGACACGGACACGCGCGACACGGACACGCGCACATTCGCCTACGCGGGAGAGAGGAGCTCGAGAGAGGAGAGTGACGGAATAGCGGCCGTCCACCACCGAGACGCGTGCGGACGAAATCGGAGAGAGAGGCGCGCGCGCGTGCGCGCGCACACACCTTGAGATCTCCCTCCCGCGGGACGTGGGGAGGACGCCCCTGCCATGGCCGTGGGGTGGATGCGGCGAGCGAGGCAGCGCGTCACGGTGCTCGCCCTGCTCGTGCTGCTCGTGGCGCTGCTGGTGCTCGTGAGCTGCCCGGCGCCGGCGCGCGGCTGCGGCCCGGGCCGGGGCTACGGCAGCCGGCGGAGGCTGCCGCGCAAGCTGACCCCGCTCGCCTACAAGCAGTTTGTGCCCAACGTGGCCGAGAAGACCCTGGGAGCCAGCGGTCGCTACGAGGGGAAGATCGCGCGCGGCTCCGAGAGGTTCAAGGACCTGACGCCCAACTACAACCCCGACATCATCTTCAAGGACGAGGAGAACACGGGCGCGGACCGCCTCATGACGCAGGTGAGGGAGACCGCGAGTTCACTCTGTGTGGACTGCGCGGCTCTCTGTGCGAGACGTTCACGTCGCGACTGATCGCCGTGGCCCCGCGGTTTGGCCCATTGGTGCCCGCCGTGGAGTGTGACCACATGAGCCGAGTGCGTCCCTCACACTGGGTGCTTGTAAGCGCCTAGCGGATCCCGTGGGTTAAAGTAGTTTAATAGGTGCTATCAGACGAAGGTGACACGTCTTTAAAGCGCACTTGAAATACAGTCGAGGGTAATTTCCGAACGAAGCCCCCTCTCTGATTCTATGAGTGCTGGAGTAACCCGCTCGTGTTGGTTTGGGGGCTCAGAGTCTGCGGTAGGAATTACACATTAGGCATGTTGGAGCATAGGATGACCGCGAGTGATATTTCACAAACTGGTATTCATTTTAATTCACCACGTATGGATGATGGGCTCAAAGCAACTATGAGTGGGAGTAGAATTAGCAACATTCCCGATTCGATTCACGATGACGCACTGTGTAAATTCACGGCAGTGTAGCAGTGAGTGCGGTGTGCGACGAAACCGGCGACTTGAGTTGCTATCCCGCTCAAGGCCAAACACCGGTGAAGATTATATCTGAGCCGGTTCTAAGCCTCCCCTAGATCGACTCGGCCTCAAATGAGTACTTGGTGCGTTGTGTAAACATTGTCACGAGGGAGATAAAGGCGGCCGTGGGTGGTACTGGGCACCCACCCCCTCGTGTGCCGTCCCGGCTTTCATAGGAGCTCGTTCACAGCACTTGCCCCAATAGCCTGTGAAGGCTACACGGGGGATCTTTGTCTGTCTTAGCCTCTGTGTGTACAAGCCTTACTCCGATGTAAATGACAATATTGACAAATGTGGTCTGATTGGTGCCAGCATGAACGTCAGTAGTTTTTAGGACAAGGACATTGGTCGGTCGACCTCCGAGGATATATATAGTACTTGTACGAGCTTGCATGGGGTTCACCAACTTCACCGGGGTGGTTCTATCCGCCCCCTAGCGTCGCAGCTTCACGTCAATCAGATGATTAACGTGGTCCAATTAATTCATTATCTACACTTGGTTTCTGTTACAGCTGACGGCTGATTTTATATTATTATGAGATGAGATGGTTTTGTTTTTTTGTTTTAGACTGAAACTCTTCTTGTTAGCATGACACCGCGTTGTCGCTGTGAAACAAAAATTAAGAAGCAGACGTTTCGGACAATTCCTCTTATAGCAGAACATACGAACTACACAGCACGTGAGCTTGCTTGAGTCGGTGGCGCAGGCCCCTGTAATGCAGCGCTTGTGGAGGCAAGGGTTGGTGGATCACACTTCAGATTTGGGAAACTCCTAAACCCGCCGGGCTGCCAGGTCGCCGAGCGATGGCAGTGCAGAAAACGAGTCCGTGAAGCCGTCCGTGAGGACCTTTAGAAGCAGTCGCCCTCCGGCAACAGCGGAGCGCCGGGCGGCTAAAACGCAAGGCAGTTGGCACGACGGGGAGCACAGTTGGTGCATTCTGTCAAACCGTGGGGCCTGGGGTCTGTCCCGCGACCTGCTCGCAGGGAGCCTTCGGTACTTCACGTGGCCTCAAAGTGCGCCCAGCATGGCCACAAGGTCCGTGGTGGCGTCACCGCCACTTGATGACGAACGACGGCCGTTGTGCGGACCTTTTTGTTTAGTTTTATTCCTCGCCTTCGAGGTGGGTCTTCTGCGGGGCACTCCCTGCAGCTTCCTCCCACACGAGGTAAAACATCCCTTGGAACGGAATTGGTCTAAACATGCCCAAATGCAGGAACCTCCTGAAAAATGAGCATTGATGCTGGGTGCGGATGCGACGCATTCGTAAATAGCACGAATAGTTGAGTTGACGTGCATTGTTCGGCGATAACGTTCGCCAATTATTCAATTCTACGCATTTTCGACCTGCGATGGTCCGTGCCACGGTGGCGAAATGTTAACGACGTCGCATGGTCTGCAGGTGTCGTGGGTTTCGATCCCGACCCTGAGACCTGTATATTTGGAGCTTGCGTGTCTTTTTTTGGCCCCGTGGTCGCGTGGATTTTTCTCCGCGTCCTCTGATTTTTCGCTCCGTAATTAAGAAGCATGCGTTTCAATGATTTGGCTGCTTTATATTTCCATCTGGTAAATCACTTCGTTGAGCTGTCATTTGTGGCTAGGTCGCTTCTGAAAAAGAGCTGTATAGCTCAGTGGGCCTTACCTGGTAAAATAAAAAAATATATAGTTTAGTTTAGATAAGTACAGTCCTTAAATGGTAATGTAATGATAAGGGGCAGAGCAGGGCAGCGAGGTCGTGTGAACTGTTCACCAACGTTAGACAAGCAACGGTGGGCGAGTCAGCAGCAAGTGATGCCACGTTTAAGCTGCCATCTCGCGTAATGTAACGCCAATAATCCGGTCAGAAAATACCTCGTACTATAAGGCACCAAATATCGTTCGTAGTAAATCACGTAAGCATGACTGGCCACTTCATTGCAGCGATAGATTGTATGTGTATGTTCGTGTTTGCGTATCTTGCAACCCGCGGGATTTCTCGCTCGCAAGCATGCCCTCTGTTATCTACGATTGCGTAACTTGGACCGTTTATGGGAACACCGGCGCCGGCTTGGGGCATTCAGGCTGGCCTGCATATACGGTCCATCTTGTGGTTAACCAGACTTGATTTGTGTGTTGAGAGATTATCGATCCTTGAGCGTTCTGGACACAAACCCATCAGCGGGTCCCTCCAGTCGGCGATGATGTGTTTTTTGGCTGCCCCATGCAGCCCGGATGCCCAGCCACGTAGCCTTCGTGCCCAATTAGCTTCTGTTTTGTCCGGGTGGAGACGGATAAACGGGCTCCGGCACAGGTTAGCGATGAGACCGTTTGATGTGGCACAGGAGGACCCGGGGCTGAATGGACTTGCCGTAGACTGTCCCAGTGCTCGGGAATTTGCAAGGCGGCTGTCCTCAAGCAACGACGAAATGCGGAGGAGCGCCGCTAAACAACAACAAGCAGAGAGGGCGAGTGAGGCGCCGCAGTGGGGAGCACAGGTGGTGGTATCTGCCACTTAACCCACAACACGTGGGTCTATTCTGTGACCTGCCGAATAACCGTAGACACATCGCGTGGTTTCTAAGCGCACCTAGCCTGGCACAAACGCTGTTGCGACGCCGCCGACCATCAGTGGCGAAGGTGGATGATATTGCTGTATACATGTGTGTATAACAGGGAGTGGTGGTGCAGTGGTTTTGCGCACTACGCTACGAAACCTCGTCACGGATATATTTATCGACAGTGGTTTCAACACTCGTCCCAAATCTCCCCTAGTACCTGATGCGGTGTGTAAACATCACCCGTGGGGAGACCAAGGCGGTCTCGGGCGTGGTTGTCGGCCATACCACGTCCGCAGCGCTCACTTTAATGTGCTCGCAAACAGCACTCACTCCATCGGTGCCTTGTCGCGAGTCATCTCTGCCATTGTCTCGTGTGTAGGTACGCGGAGCGCCGTGTCGGCCTCAAGAAGAGCTCACGAACTTGACTTGCTCCCACACCGTGGGAGAATTTCGTCTTTTGTTTTTGTATTCGCGGGGATATGCGGCGTGGTGGTGAGCGCACAGTACCACGGTCGCGGACGGGCCGGGGTTTGCCAGTGACGAGTGCTACCTCAACCGGTTCTGGGCCTCCACCCGAGGTCAACTCGGCCTAGCAACGAGTACCCGGTGCGCTGCGTAAACACCGCCACTGGGGAGACAAAGGCGGTCTCGGGCGTGGCGTAGGCCACCTCGCCTCCCCCGTGCGCCTGTGCCGTACTTTGAGAGGTGTTCGCGAGCAGCACCTTGCCCCAGCAGTCTGTGCAATGCTATACGGGGGGATCTTTTTCTTTATACGTATGCACGTGTGTGTGTGTGTGGGGTGGGGGAGTGAGAAACGCAGTGTGTCCACCAAACCTGCACTTTGAACGTAAATGCGAGGTTAATGGTACCAAACAAAAAAAAGCGTGCCTGTAACGACATCGGTATTTATATAGGGCCTTCGCGGCTCTGTGTATTGGCTGGCTCGGTCTTACGAAACTCGCCCGCTGCCTCGATTCGCAGGCGATCCGGAGGTCGCCGGGTCGTGTGGATGGGCAGGTGGACCAGGTGGGCAATTGGGTCAGTGGACAGGCGTGTAGGTGTGGGCAGGTGACAAGGTGAATAAGTGGGCATAGGTGGTCCTGGGTCTCCCCTAGGTCGACTCAGTCAGGAAGACGAGAACCTCGGTGTGTAACAACCATCACCACGAAAGAGACAAAGGCGGCCGGGCGTGGTTGTCGGCCACCTACCCCGTCGTGTGCCGTGCCGGCCTTCATAGGTGCCTCGCTCACAACACGTGCCCCGACAGTCTCATAAGGCTATATTTTATTTCTTTATTGGTGGGTTAGTGGCTGCATGTGGATGTAATGATGGGTGGGCAGGTGGGTCAAGGTGGGTGGTGAACGGGCGCGAACGTGCAGGCGAGGTGGGTGCAGGGACGTGTTCTTAAAGCTGCGATTGAACTTTGCTCACCTTTTTCAGAGAACTTTGCCGTTGCGGAACCCCCACCCGCCGTCTGTGTGTTACCTGTGGTTAGTACAGGTGTTGTTGCATTCGCGTGCGCTTTGTAAATCCAACCGGCGCCCCGCGGTTTAAATGCCGCGATGTCAGTGTACACGGGGTGGGTGTCGTGCCCGAGCTCACGTGTCGGCGAATGTTACTTTTGGTTCGGGCGATTTTATTTTTCTTTCTCCTAACATATATATATATAAGAAAGAAAGAAAAAAACGCGGCGAGCGGTGGATGATGTCTCACTCACCACCGTGGCCGCCGCGTTTCGGCCACTCTTGCCAAGGTGCGATTTTAATTCTGAGAATTGGGCCTTCGAGAGAGACGGCCTCGCGATCTAAGAAAAAGAGCTGCTGCCGTGGTGAGGTTGTTAGCTCAATGGTCGTCGGTTCCATTCGATCTCCCGACGCGGAAGTTTTATTTTAT